ACACACTCTAAGGTGAAAACAAAAAAAAAAAATACATTCACGTATATTCTGAAAAGTGTTAGTTTTGGTAATAAAAATACTAACCTTATTTATTGAGGAATATGACTGTGTAGTTAAATACAATTTAACATAGTTAATAATATACATGAGAAAATTACTCGATTCTGATTGGCTGAGAGCAGTGCAGTTCAAGTGTAACACCAGTGCAAAAAGTGTAACACCAGTGCAAATTACACATCGTAATTCTGGATTATGATTGGCTGAAAGACAATAGAAAATTTTCAAAGCCAATGATATTACGTAAAATGATGAGGAAAATTTTGTGTGGAGACTTTGAAAAAAGTTTTCTCAAATGAGAAAAAATGGCTTCAAGAAAGGTCTTCCAGCACTTCCTCCACGCAAATTTTTTCATGTTTATATTATTAATAAGTAATCATGCGGTTTTTCTCGTTCAATTTGGAATTAATTTGTACTTGCGAGTTTTTCAAAAAGCTGAAATTGCATTCGCCGAAGCGGCTCGTGCAATTTCAGCTTTTTGAAAAACTCACTCAAGCAAATTAATTCCAAATTGAACTCGACACGGTATGATTACCTATACTAACTTCGAGGAGCAAGAGGCATTTTGTTGGCATTTGTTAGCATTTTGTTGGGGTTTGTTAGTATTCATTAGCATTTGTAAGTGTTTTATAACATTTTGTTGGTGTCAGTGGTTAGCATTTTTAAAGATCATCTTTCAGCAATTGGGGCCCCCAGGCATGTCTTGGTATGTACTCCTGCGGTTAGTGGTCCTTTTGGGTCCATTCTACCATTGAACAGTCAGCGACTTTGGTTGCTGGGTTTCCAGACTAAGCAACAGTCAGCGGTCTTCTCTACATAATTATGGGTTATTACACGTATTTCAGCTTTTCCACTGAAATTCTTGTTTCAGTGTGACTGGTGTCTGGGTTCTCTGTGGTAGTGGGGGCTTGTGGCTTAGTTGCAGAGAGTGCCTGCCCTGTGGGTGGTCTTACATCATGGGCTGGGGTTACAGGGCTTGTGTTGGGTGTGTTTTCCCTGGGCACTTACATGTAACCTCCTCTTGCAACAAATGTTGTTAACAAAAAATTGGATGTAATTTTACATAAAATACACGTAAGTAGCAGGTTAGTTTATAATACAAGTTGTGAAAGTGCCCAGATGGTACATGTTATCTACCATATTTTGACTAGGGTATCTAAAAGATAATAATGCTGCAGCACATTCTATTGATAGTGACATATTTTACGCAGTGATTCATCTACAACTTCATGCATGATGACACATGGATGGCGAGGTGTGACAAGGGATTGTGACAAAAAAGCACATAGTGATCTGACCCATGTTTGAACATAAA